ATGCAGTCGCTTTCACATTTGTACCCATGTGCTCATATTGTCTCTCTGTCAGTCTACTTCTCAGTGATGTTTTAAAATATCTCTAATTCTGGGACAGAGTTTCCACATTTGTGAGAAGTTATGGGGGGGGGGCACAAAAAGGAGAGAAGCAACACCATTTTCAGCTGCTAAACAAAGTTGTAGTTTCTTATTGATTGGTGAAGGATCTCCAGGAAATGACTAGGTACCAAAGGAATTTGAGGGCGATTCAGTTGCTTATATTGCTTGCCTAGGAAATGGTGCAATCAGTAGTCTGCAATGATTACTTTTTTAATGGCTTTGGAAACTTTTATTACTAAAGACAGGTTTTCTTTGAGAACTGTAGAATGCATGAGAATGTAATTGCTGAAAGTTCCTTTTGAAATAGGTTTCTGCTCTGTGGTAGACTTTTTTTGGTTAAAAACACGCCAGAAATGACTTTATTTATCCTATCCATCTGCCTTTTGTTTTAGGAGAGCCTAACCTGTTGGCTTTTATGTATGTGGGGAGATCCCTTTATTTTGATGAGACAGAAAGGTACTTTTTCACCGCTTGAAAACTTTGGATTGATTTAAAAATTATTGTAGACCTTACTCAAGACTGTGCTCTTGGAAGCTGTCATTTCTGAGATATAAAGTCTGGCCTAGATTTGCTGAAGTACTTGATAAATTGTTATTTAAGAAAAAAACTTTTAATGGATGGATGAATTTTTTTGTGTCCTGATTAATGTGAGCTTGGATAGAATTATGCTTGCCTCATGTCAATCTGGGTAAGATAGTCATACCCTGTTCCTGGCTATTTCCAGCTTTTACACAATACATTGTGAACAGGACTGTTTTCATTCAGCATGGGGTGAATTGATCCCTGTGCATAGAAGGGATCCTAAGTTTTGTAGAGCATACAACACAATCTGATTACTCTTTGCGATATAGAATGCATCCAAAATTCAAATTATCTTGGCACCACCTAAATCCATTAATAAACAGAATTTGGTAGGGGACAAGTCTGGTGTTCTATGTTTCAGTCATTCTTTATCAATCAGTATAAGGTGAGAAATTCACTGATGAGTTTTCCTTTCATGTGTTAGCCATTGATTGGGGCAAAAGCAAGAACTTCAGTTTTCAGAGCTGTGTAACTTAATCTGCAGCCAAAAGCATTGTACATATAGTAGTTGTGAAGCAAACAAACTTAAAATTTTAAAGGGAGGGCAAAAAAGAAGTTTTAGATAATCAACATGATTCTAAATTGAGTGGTTATCATCTGTTTGGTAGGAAACGCATTTCTAATTGTGTGGTTTATGTGCATTTTTTTAATATAAATGATCATCTGTATTGCCCATTTTTTTCTAAATACTTGCTAAATAGCAAAGTAATTTTATTTAATTATATGTTGGTATATGATCTTATGCAACCATTGGAAACGGATGAAGAAAGGCTAAGGCCCTAAGATATTTATTAGTGATTAAAGGTATTATTAATCAGTGTTACGGCCTGTGGATGACACTTTTCTTTGTGAACAAAATGAGAGTAAGGAATATTGTGAAAAAGTACAGAGGAATAAAGAGAGGAACTGCAGCAGAATGCTTGCTGAATTTCCATAGATTTGCAGGTTTTAAGTGTGTGCTAATTACGTGCTTTGGTGAGTGTAAAGGTTACGTTCATTTGTTTTGGAAGAAATCAATGGAAATGGAAAGGTACAGATTCTTTTGTGATGTGGTAGCAGTCAACTTCAGGCACGACAGTTAACAGATTAACTTTTTAGGTGAATTAGGACCTTAAATTCGGTTCTCAAAAGCAATATAAGCAGCTTTGCTGAAAGTTGGTTCTTCTCAAGCATCTGTAATCTTGATATTAAATAAGAATATCAAATGTATCAGACTTATTTACCCTTGAAAACATTCTTATTTCCAGCTAAAACTTAAATCAATAAAGAAGGAAACTACCTTTTTTTCTTATAGCATCTTGTAATTACCTGTTGTCCAGTGCCTATTTCAAAATAAATTCTGCAAATCACAGAAAATGTAAAAATCAATGGTATACTTTTAAAATTGTATTTTCTTACTTTACAACATGTTTTCCCTCCACATGATAACCTTGGTTTAAAGTACAGCATGTCTGTAGACTTCTGAATTGTCATAAAGGGCTGTAATAGTTATGCTAATTTTGGGACGAGAATATTTGAATTGCTGATATGAAATGTCAAAAAATAAAAATATTCAACTGATCTTAACGCTGAATTTGTTTCTGATGATGTTATAATCTATATGAGCACTTAATGAATGGCAGCACAAGAATTAGGCTGAACTATATTCTAAAATACTTCAGAGAAGTGAAAAGAGGAGCTTATGCATTTTTTGTTCAAATAATGCCTCTTTCTATGGAAAAAGGTGAGTCACCTAGGTCTTCATTGCAAAACTGTTTTGCTGTAGGTGATTATGCCCAGATAAGGCATGAACAGGCAAATGTAGATTTAAGTGTATTTTTCGTGTTTGTAGTAGAACAAGACGCTCAAAATGCAAGGTATATGCTTTTATTTTTCTGTAACCACGGTGATGGAATTAGTTAATCATAAAGCACGAACAATGCTGCTATGTCCCTTGTACAGCCCTACCCATCTGGACATTAGGTCTGGGAACAGAGGGTTTAGTCCCTAGGTAATCATTAATGTTAAACAATAATGGTGAAGGGGATTTTTTAAATAGAAATAGCGTTACCAAATGATTGCAGGTGTATTTGTGGTACCTATCTATTGTGTGAATTAATTGAAGCAAAAAGTCATACATCTCTCCCCAAAGAAGTTAGTTTTAATTAAAACCAGCAGGTGCCTAGAACTGGTCAAGATGACCCGTGCCGCAGGGACAAGAGCCAGAAGAGGACTGAGTTTGCGCAGAACCTGTGATGAAGAGGATAAGCCTTCATCTTAGG